TCCCTGTTTACCTTACCTTACCTTAATTTTTTGTTTTCTGGTGATGCCAAAATTGGTGCTTGAACAAACATTATTGTCAGGATGCTGTCAGCGGCTCCCAGCTGGTTGCCCAGGAAAGTATAAAAACAAGGAAATGTTCTTACCGTCCTCTGTTTATTCAGTATTTACAGAGAGCAGCTACAGAACCCAGCCTCTTGGGTAATGACATTGTCCCAAGTGAATCTCCACCCTCCGTCTCTCTCCGGGTGCTGCTACATACCCTCTGAGCTCTTTGCTCTCCTACTTTTAAGGCTCACTGGGTTCTGGGAGATGGCGGGTCTGGAATGCTTTCTAAAAACAACATGTCAGCCAGCTGCCATTCCATTTCCCATTATTTCCCAACTTTCCCCCTCATCTGCCTCTGAGCTGTGACCTCCTACAAACCCCTGTTGTAAATCTATAATGTCTTCCTCTTCCTCCTCCCTGGAAGGCTCAGGATGGGGAGGCGGTCTCCACCATTCCTCCTCTGCCCAGTCCTTGACAATTATCTGTCTTGGAAACAAATGCCTTGGAATGTAATGTGAAAATAGCCCTCTTCATGCATCCCTCCACATATATGCTAAATGCATGGAAAAGAGGGGCTGCTCCCTTCGGGCCCCATGCCAGCTCTGCCCCTGACACCCACATAGGCTGAGCAAAAAGTTTGTGGATAGAGTATCTGCATGTGTTGCAAATGCGCAGGCATTCCATGTGACCAGAAACCCTGCATGATCTATGATCTCAACTCAGGATGGAGGAGAAATTCAATTCAGTTTGCACTTAAATGTGAATCTATCTGATTTGCACTTTGCAAGTTGTCTTCTTGGAGCTATGCAAAGTCCAAGGAGTCCAGACTTACTGTACATACGTGTCTTACTAAGGCACCCTCCGTACTGCCCCATGGGCTCCTTTACATTGTCAGGTCAGGGTAATGAGACCATTTCCTAAAGAGGAGAATTTGTGCTTCGAGCCCCAAAACCCATCTCCCATGGAAATAAAGACACAGTGGAGACAGAATTTATTTTAAATGTTAATAGGCAAATTTTAGCCACAACTTTATTAAAATACACACATGTGACTGATATTGGCTTAGGCATTGGTATCAAACTATATCTGGCTCCTGCCCCACCCTGCAGGAAACCTGTAAGGGTAAACAACCAGCAGGGGGATCTCCGTCAGTGTATATTGACTGGTGCTCACCCCTGGGGTTCCCCTGGGGTCCTGGCATGGCCCTAGCCCCTCTCTGGGCTTCGGATGAGATCCAGACCCCCGGATTCCTTTAATGGAATACCCTACTCATTGGAGGTGCAGGTGATGGCCACACCTCCCCTCCCCACATTCCCCTAAACCAATGCCTAACCGCCAAACCTTACAAAGTTGTGATGATTGCTAAGAGGTAGGCAAAAACCAAGTGGCCACAGCCAATCTGCCACATTGGAAAAAATTCCTACCTGGCCCCCATTCCAAAACAGGCGACCAACCAAAGTCCAAAGCAAGGCCAAACACAACCTAATTAATGGGTGGGTGGGCGAGGGTTTCACGCTGCCAAATAGATACCCCCAACCCCCAACCTTGCCATGCTACTGATTGGTTAAAGGCCATTGGCATAACTGTGGCACCTCTGGCTTGGAGTGGGGCAAGCCCGACTCACAAGCCGGTTAGGGAAGAGTTTCAGGGCTGAGCACAACATGGACCCTCTGTTAGGAGGATCTAACTTGCCAATCACTGCTGAGCTTTTTTAAACAGCAACAACACAAACTATGTCAGTTGCACTAAGTTGCCAATGAACTCAATGGGATAAATTCCAAGAAGGGATTACTTCCTCCCATCACGGGTTGAGTAAGTTCTAGCTGCTCATTCCCCTCCCTTGACTTGGAGGACAACATCAAGGAAGACCAAGATTGAGGGCAGGAAATCCATCTGAATAATCCAGTCACCATCCAGATAATTTTGTTCCTGATACCAGACTTGTATATCTTTTTTGCAGCGTGATTTTGTTGTTTTTTTTTAAAAAAAGAAGAAACTTGCTTTGATAGCTTTTCAGGACTGTAATGTGGAATAAAAAGTATTCTTTTAAAAGAAGTCATGACTTAAGTCTCATTGATTTCACTGGGCACTCAGCATAACTAATTGATGATGGCATGAGGTTTTTATTTTGTCAAGAAGATATGAAGGAGATCTGGTGCATGTGTGTATATTTCTGGCAACAGCAAAATAACCACTCACATCAACTTCACACAAGGCAGTGCACATTTTATTTGTAGGTTTTGTTTTGTTTTGCTTTTGCTACATGGAAATGATTTTCATGGGGAGAAAAAATGTTGCATGTGAAGCAGTGAAAAGGTTGAAAGAGGGAGTGACTCTGAGACCCAATGGGATATTTTTTGAATGACATGGTACAAAGCTGAAATAACTTTGGGGATCATCTAGCCATCGCTTCCCTTCAAAATGAAATGAAGCCTGAGGATAGTTTGCTCACCTTGCCTACCCCAACAGAATCCCTGAGGTGAAAAGCTCTCAAAGACATTACGATGACTGTCACTCGTGCTTAATTAGAGATGAGTGATGATCGGAGATGTTTTCCCTTCACATATTCAGAATGGCTGTGGAAAAGATATGGATGATTAGGATCATGGACAAAGGGCATAGCAAAGAGGTGACCTTGATCTCTTGGGCCTGAATTAAACAGGAATCCAGGTAACAAAAACTCAATGGCTGTGTTGGAAAATTTAAAGGATTAATTATCTTACACAGGAAAAGTGAATTATTTGGAAATGGAAGTTAGTAGTAACAGACTTTACCAATCAGGTGTCTTCCAGATGTTTTGGACTAGGATGCCCTGAGGTCCTTGGAGGAAAACCGGGGGGGGGGGGTGTGCCATTAATAAAGGAAAGCTGTCACAGGAAGGGTTGTGTCCCCTACTCCTGAGATTTTGTTGGTGTCCATCTGTCTTGGAAGACAATGGAAAAGTGCACCTATGGGGCTGAAGGCAAACCACTGGAGAGTTACAGGTTCTGCTGTGGCTGTAGAAACTGATACAGGAGAGACATGTTTTGTTGCAGCTGAGGCAGATGAAGGCACCCAGTTTTGCTGCTACAGGTGCAATATTTTCTGTGAAAAGGGATCTATTTTCAAAGCAGGGAGAGACCTTGGCCTGAAATCCTGGAGAGATGAGGTTATGACCTATTGCTTGTCCATTAGATGTGTGAGTTGGGATGGGAGAGAATTTTGATTCAATCTGCATTTACATGTGAACCTCTGTAATTCACTGTAATTTTCAAAACCATACAAGAACCGAAACACAACTGTGCTTCAAAACTGGCACATGCCTGAATTCTGTAACACAGTTCTCCAGTCAACTGATGTGCAAAAAAATCTGTATACTGGTAGAAAAATGTGCATAAAATGCATAGATAAATGAAAATAACATTAAAAATGCATTTTTGGATAAATTCAATTACAAAACATGCATATTGGGCTAAATTGCGTACAAACAGGTGTATCTGGAGAAATTCTCACTAAAATGCTGGTGAATTTATAATGACTTACCCCCATAATTCTCAAACTGTTGTGAAAGTGTGGAGAACTAAACTGAAGATTGGAAAAAATGAGAAACAGAGAGAAATAGAAATTGACATGTTTGGCCATCCCTGAAAAATAAGGCCTCTTCTTACACTCTCCAGCTTAGTCTCTGCTACGTCCAATATCTCTGTGAAATTCCACGGTGAAAGTCATGCTATTTATTTGAAACAAAGTCTAGTGCTTCCCCTTTTAAAGAGAAAGCAGCGCAGACCTTTGTCTCCAGCCTCAGGGATCACTTAATTGGCTCCCCCGTAAAAATGCAGTGAGCTCAGTTGCCTGATAATGATTATAAATGACAGAGACTATCAGATTTACCTTGGGACATCTCCAGGGAGTTTGCAGTTAGTTTAGTCTGAACTCTGCGTCAGCTGTTCAAGCTTCTTTCTTCTCAGTATGTGGTGGCTGGACTCAAGCTGCAGTCTTTCAAACCTAATTACTGTTAAGGGAAGGAGGGGAACCCACAAACCCTCCTTTTCCTCTCCCCCCCCAATTGGTTTTGCAGAACAAGGCCAGAGATTTATTCAAGGTACAAGTAACTTACATATTTGGAGGGATCTTGATATTACATAATAAAGGACTTCATCCGCGCTTGCAGATTTGAGACTTTAGAAGGGCAGCTAACATTCTTGGGCCCGAAGACTAAAAACACTCTGCTGGCAACAGGATAAGCAGGGACTGGGAGATGGCATCACTCTTCAGCTTATGGGGGGTGCAAATCGCCCCTTCCTGACTCGTCAGATGATCAACAGGAGGAACAGTGAGGAGGCGATGTGCTTCCAGGCTGGGGTTAACCAACCCTTCACAGACCTTGTGAAATGCACTGGTGCACCAGAAAACACACATAAACTCCTAATGTCCTTGTTGTTCCGTTCTGGCCTTGCAGAGAAGGGAGCATCTGGAGCAAGCAATTTGACCCAACAAAGGCTAGAGGTAGACTGAGGCCCTTTGAACCTCAGTGTCCAGTCCAACTCTCTGGCCTGTAGAGGGGCCTCCTGCCTGGTTCACTCCCTATTGCATGGGACCAGCAAGGTAGAGTGGGGGGTATTTGGTTCCTTGGGTCCATGGAAAGCGTCCCAGCTGTGGCTCTATGGGCTCTGGTGCAGTGATTGACAGAGAGCTCATTGTTCTCTTCAGGAGAAGTGCCTGGGAGCAGCAGAATGCAAGGAGAATGCAAGCGGACTCCAATCACACTCCCTTCATGAAATGTGAGGTCTCCCCAGAAGCTCCTGGAACAATCACATGGGTTTGTCTAAACTATACTTGGTGAGAATTTTGGATTTGGATCCTGGAATGCTTAACCTTAAATCATACCCCAGGGTAAAGGATGGAAGTGGGGAGAAATGGTTGCAGACACTTCATAAAGAACAAAGTATTTATTTGAAGGGAGATGCTGGCATATTTCATGATAAAAACGTTTGGTCTGGTGTCAGCAAAGCACCCTTTCGTCTGACTGTTCGAATGGACTTTACCACAGTTGTCAGGTCATTTACTAAAGTGTTGAATGGGACAAGGCAAAAGAACTGATCAGAGGCGTAGATCTCAAAATTGGTAGGTGGCCGAGCAATCACAAATCTGTTTTTAGAAAAAAAAGAGTCAGCAATATCACAATTTGAAAAACTACACACTCAAAGGAGCAATTGTTTTTTGGACATATATATTAAGGGGTTTTGGATGTGTTTTTAAAAACTTGCATAATGGTGCAAAAGATCTGCGTAAAATGGGAAGGGGTTAATGGGAAAGAGAAAATTTAATTCTTACTTGTGTAATAATACCCTAAAATGTATCATACATACATGATACAATCTTTTAATGCAGTAGTACAGTATTCCCATTTTGCATTTTTATGTTGTGAACCGCCCTGTGATCTTTGGATGAAGGGCGGTATACAATTAATAATAATAATAATAATAATAATAATAATAATATTTGGACCAATACTGATCCATGAAAATGTGAACTATTTTCTTATTTGTTTTGAAACTGACACACTCAAACGGAGCTGCATCTGTACGTTTCAATTTGCAATATACTTTCCTATTTTCAATCAGACTGGTCTCATCTTTCTGACGGTAGAGGCCAAAGCAAAGGATTCCAAGCAACTCAAGTGCTAGATTGTAGATATCCCCAAAGAAGAGCTGTGAAGAGGGGGAAAGTGACAATATTGTCTTAATGCCATATCAACATTCCTTGATAAGATTAATTTAAGTGATAAGTCTGTTTGTACCTTCTTGGGTGGGTGGCTTTGTGGGCGGGCCCTGGGCTTCCCCTGTGAACTGGCCTATTGCAGTCCACATGGTCTTTCTGCCACCAAATTGGCCGATGGAAGCAGGAATGTAGAGGGCGTTTCCCCTGGGCACGGTGCCAACTGACCAGTAGTGGCGCTTGGCACTGCGCCCATGGCAAGGATAAATGCCTGGCCTGCAGGGCCTTTCAGCCTCTCCCTTACTGTGTATGTCCCATAAACTACTGGTTGACGGCCCTGGTTTAAAATAGTAGTTTCCAAACTTATTACTCTCCTTGGCAGGGTAGGAAGCTAGAGCTAACTCTGATACTCTCCTCATCCACTTTCCTTCCTCATTTATAAAGCACCCATCTCCCTCACCCAAAAAATGTGGAACACATATGTCAGGGGTTCAGGGAGAGAGGCACAGATGAGGGAGGAGACTGAGAGCGAGGGGGAAGAATCCAGGAACGAGGAGGAGGAGGATGACAATGACTTGAGGGCTTCCATGAGTCTCTCAAGTGAATCGGAGGATTCCCAAAAGGGGGCGCCCCTGGTCAGGCCAAGGGGAGCCACAGGGGGACTCGTCAGGAGCAGGGGAGCAGCAGGGAAACCCCGAGTGGGAGTGGGAGATCGGGGCCGGCTTCCCAGCCGGAACGGAGTGAAGAGGGTGGAGTTCCCAGTGTGACACACGGAGCAGAGCAGGAAGCAGACAGGGGAAGGAGATCGGGGCAAGACGTCCTGCCGGAAGGGGCGGAGAGTAGTACAGAGAGTAGTATAACTGTCAAGAGGAAGGTCAGGGGTAGCGAACGCGCGCCAAGTTCAAATGTGGAGGCGCGCGGAAATGCGGAGAGCCCGGAGGAGGAGCCTGGTCCCAAAGCACGGAGGAGGGCGGAGCAGGCGTCTGGGGACTCAGCGTCCGGGGAAAGCAGGAGGGAAGGAACCCAGGGGGGCAGAAAGACCCTGCGGAAAAGGAAGCACAGGAAGAGGTGGACCAGCACAAGCCTCTTAAACTGGTGTGGAGGCGGGACTGATTCAGAGGGGACTTCAGCGGTCTAAGCGTAACAGACGTGGGGCTGCGCGCCTCGGCTGTGGAACAAACAATGTACTTCAATAAAGACTTTTGTAAATAAAGTGGACTTGGCGTTGGTCTCTTGTGAGCTGGGACCTGAGGCGGCCCTGACAGTAAGTCCCCTCTCACAAAGAACGCAAAAATATTTTTTTTGCAAAGCTCACGAAGTGTGGCAACCATGAGTGCGGAAGAACAGTTGACAGCACTACGGAACGCAGTCTCCGAGCTTTCCACTGCGGTAGTGGTCTCCCAGAAGAAGAGTGAAGAAGCAGAGGCGCGATGCCACAATCTGCAAACCAGGTGGGAACGTGCGTGCAAAGAGGGGTTCCCGGGGTCCAGATCAGAGGGAATTGGACTCGGAAGGCGGGGAGGAAATTTAGTAGCCCCCTTCGATGGGAACCTGAAGCACTACCCCAGTTTCAGAGCAGACGTCCTGTATGCACTGCATTTGCTTCGCAATGACTTTAAAGATGAGGAGGAGAAAGTGGGTTTTATTGTGTCTCATTTGCATGGAGACGCCAGAGCGTGGCTGCGCAATTTGTGGCGTGAAGATGGTCCTGCCCGCCGCGATTCTGATGAATTTATTAAAGCGATGGACGCTTGTTTCCAGTCCACCGTGGATGTTGATGTTGCGCGCCAACAGATGCACGGACTCAGACAAGGCAAAGCCACTGTGCGTCAGTACCATTCGCGCTTTTTTGCATTGCTGACTGTATTGGGCTGGGAGAAAGACTCCAAACCAGTGAGAGATTTGTTCTGGGAGGGACTCCACAGCTCCATAAAAGATGAATTGGCCAGGGGTGACAGACCTCAAACCCTAGCAGACGTAGTACAGAGGGCTCTTGCGATTGGAATACGACACGAAGAACGTCCTTGGCACAATGAGGAAGGTCGCCAGGCGCGTGCGCCAGCGAGGGCACCTCCTTTTATCCCCAGAGAGTTCGGCCAGGCGCATCCTTCGCCTCTAATGCGGCAGGGGGAAGAACCAATGGAGCTTGGCGGTGCTAGAGCTCAGACAGCAGCCAGAGCCCCAACGTCCGGTGCAGTCAAGGAGAAGCCTCCTAGAGGGAACAGGAAATGTTACATCTGTGATAGTGCACAGCACATGGCTAAAGAGTGTCCCCAGAGGTTCCGGAGACACACTGCAGCTTTAGCAACGGTCGCAGCAGACGTACTTCATGAGGAGCAGTTTCAGGGAAACGACAGTGCCTGGCTGGAGACAGCGATGCTGGGGCTCAGCCAGGCGAGTCTGTAGAGCAGTCCCCAGCGATTTTGCAGCACACAGACCCCTTACCTCCCAAGCCAGCGGTGCAGCTCACTGCAACACTCCAGTTGCCGAATGGAACCACCCTGGAAGTCCCCATTACAATCGACTCTGGAAGCAACGCGGACTTTGTGGGGGTGCAGTTCGTCAAGCAGCATCGCATAGCGCTTCTGCCAGCTACGACGCCCCTGAACGTAGTCACGGTAGATGGCAGAAAATTGCTAGGAGGGCAAGTTGTGCAACAGACGCCTCCCATGGTGATGCAGATTGGAAATCATCGAGAAGTCATTAGCTTCAACGTCACCCGCCTATCAGACACGCCTATAGTGTTAGGCATGAGCTGGCTAGAGAGACACAGTCCAGCAGTGGCGTGGTACCAGCGACAGATCACCTTTTCCTCATCGTACTGTGCTCAACATTGCATCCAGTTCAGCCAAGGGGAGGAAGCTGGGCAGCAACTGCAACTAGGCATGGTGCAGGCAGTACCCCGCAAGTACGAGGGATTTTTGGAGGTTTTCTGCGAGAAGGAAGCTGACCAGCTGCCACCCCACAGGCCTTACGACTGTGCGATTGACCTGTTGCCGGGGGCGAAGCTGCCGACTGCAAAACTGTATTCCATGTCTGAAGATGAGATGCAAGAACTCAGGGAGTTCATAGAGCACAATTTGAAGCGCGGATTCATTCGGGAATCCAGAGCGGTGGGGGGCAGTCCTGTGTTTTTTGTGAAGAAAAAGGACACGCCCCAAAAGAGACTCATTGTGGACTACCGGGCCATAAACTCGATGACAAAGCCCAAGGCCTTTCCCATGCCCAAGATTGACGACCTCCTAGCAACCGTGCGGAAGGGGAGGATCTTCACCAAGTTGGATTTGCGCGGAGCGTACAATCTCATACGCATGCGTGAGGGCGATGAGTGGAAGACGGCCATGTTCACGCCTCTGGGCACGTATGAATACAGAGTTATGCCTTTTGGTCTCCAAAATGGATCCCACTGCTTCCAAGCCTTTATGCATCACGTGCTAGCGGGACTCCTCTACAAGAAGTGCGTGTGTTTCCTCGACGACATCCTGATCTTCTCAGAATCGCCGGAGGCTCACGAGAGAGACGTAAAGGAGGTCCTGCAGAGACTACGGGAACACAGACTCTATGCCAAGTTGGAGAAGTGCCAGTTCGATGTGACGGAGGTGGATTTCCTGGGCTACAAGCTGTCCGACAAGGGGCTGGCCATGGACAGCGCCAAGGTCCGCGCGGTGTTGGACTGGAAGAGCCCGCGAAATCAGAAGGAGGTCCAGAGGTTCATCGGTTTCGCCAACTTTACCGCAAGTTCATCAGGGGTTTCGCGAAGGAGACAGCAGCAATCACGGACACTCTCAGTTCCAAGAAGAAGAAGTTCACTTGGACGGACCAGGCGGAGCGCTCTTTTCAGAAGCTTAAAAGCCTCTTCGCCTCCGAGGAACAGCTGCTGCACGTGAATCCTGGCAGGCCCATGCGGGTCGAGACGGACGCATCAGACAGAGCGGTAGGGGCCGTCCTTTTGCAGGAAGATCCGCAAGGGCACTGGAGGCCCTGTGCTTTCTACTCCCGGAAGCTCAGCAAGGCGGAACAGAACTACACCATCTGGGACAGGGAGTTGTTGGCCATTCACGCGGCTTTCAAAGCATGGCGGCACTTCCTCATAGGAGCCAAGCACACCGTGCAGGTCCGCACAGACCACAAGAACTTAGAGTATTGGCGCACGGCGAAGCTCCAGAGCCAGAGGCACATGCGCTGGGCGGAATTCTTCGCGGATTTCGACTTCTGAATAGAGTACATCCCGGGAGACTCCAATGTCATAGCCGATGCGCTCTCAAGGAAACCGCAATATCTCGAGGAAGTGGCAACAGTAGCAGCCAAGCACATTTTCGCACCGCAGGCGTGGGCGTGCGCTTCAGTCGCCGTCGACCTGGACGCGGTGCGACGCGCGCTGCAGACGGATCAGTTTGCACAATCCAAGATGGAAGAGCTGCGCAGAGGTACAACGAGAGACGATGAGTTCCAGATACGCGACGGGCTGTTAACTCGCAAGGGTGCACTCTACGTGCCAGGGGACGATCTCCGCGCAAAGGTTCTGCACCAGTTGCACGACGCACCCAGCGCGGGCCATTTCGGCAAGGAGAAGACAGCGGAACTGGTAGCCAGGGACTTTTGGTGGCCCCAAATGCGAGGAGAGGTCGCGGATTACGTCACCAGATGTGACACCTGTCAAAGGCCCAAGCCAGTGCACCAGAAGCCAGCCGGACTATTGGAACCGCTGGAGACGCCACTGCAACCGTGGGAGCGGGTAGCGCTGGACTTTGTTACTGATCTGCCCAGCTCCCGAGGCAAGATGGCAGTACTGGTGGTTGTGGACCTGTTCACCAAGATGGCGCACTTCATTCCTTGCACGAAGGTGGCGACAGCGGAACAGACCGCCAAACTCTTCATCGACCACGTGTTCAAGGTGCATGGGCTGCCACGGTCCATTCTGTCCGACAGGGGGCGCCAGTTTGTTTCCAGTTTCTGGCAGAAGCTCCTAGGTATCCTGCACGTCAAGATCAACCTATCGTCGGCGAGACATCCGCAGACCAACGGCCAAGCAGAGAGGGTCAACGCTATCATGCAGCAGTACCTGAGATGTTACGCCAATCAGCGACCCGCAGCTTGGGTGGATTACCTGCCGATGGCTGAGTTTTCCTACAACAACACGAAGCACGCGTCGACGGGGGTGACGCCGTTCTTCGCTAACAATGGACGACATCCCAGAACCTTCCCGGGGCTCGTAATGACGGGGGAGGGGGCGCCGCAGGGGGCCGACCATTTCGCAGCAGAACTGCAAGAGGTGCACGAGGAGCTGCGGAGACATTTGGAGCTAGCTAAGCAAGCCTATAAGGTGCAGGCGGACAAACACAGGAGGGCGGGAGAAGACATCCAGGTGGGGGACTGGGTATGGTTAGCAGCCCAAGCGGTGCCGGCCAAGTCGTTAGCTAAGAAGAAGCTAGGACACAGGCAGCTAGGGCCATACCAAGTTGAGGCCAGGATCAATCCCGTAGCGTTTCGACTGGCCCTCCCCGAAGGTTCCAGAATGCACCCGGTCTTTCATAGGTCGGTGCTCACCCCCTACAAGGCCCCACACAAATTTCAGGAGCCAGGGATGGCACCAGAACCACGCAGAGAGTCACCCAAGAGGGGGAGGTCACCTAGGGCCGAACCAATCAACGAGGTCACAGAGATTCTGGACTCAAGATGGGGGGAAGAGGGAGTAGAATATTTTCTCGCCAGAGAGGGTACCCCAGCCAGCGCCAACAGTTGGGTGCCGGACTACGCTTTGGACGAGCCTCTTCTCAAGGACGAGTTCCATGCCCTTTTCCCACACAGGCCCATGCCAGCAGAGTACTTTGACGACTGGCTTTTTACGCCCACACTTTCAGCCAGCACTTTCCGGGGGTTTTCTTCCATGGAGGAGGGAACGCCAGAGTCAAGCCCCCCCAGGGGATCGTGCTCGGGGGTGGAGACGGAACCCTCGTATTGGTGGGATGAGCAACCAGAGGAGGACTGGTGCAGGAGGTGGAGGGAGGGGCCTTGGCCAACAGCACCGGACGAAGTAACAATGGGACAGGAGACCGAGAACACCTTGGGAGACGACCCTGAGTTCGAGCACACATACACTGAGCTGGAAGCAGAGGAGATCGAAGTTGACGAAATGTATCGAGCATCTACCCCCGCAGAGACGCAGCTCCCAAAACCTGCGCCCGACGGGCGGGAGGGGGGAAGGGGGGCTTCGAGGGGGGGATGGATGTCAGGGGTTCAGGGAGAGAGGCACAGATGAGGGAGGAGACTGAGAGCGAGGGGGAAGAATCCAGGAACGAGGAGGAGGAGGATGACAATGACTTGAGGGCTTCCATGAGTCTCTCAAGTGAATCGGAGGATTCCCAAAAGGGGGCGCCCCTGGTCAGGCCAAGGGGAGCCACAGGGGGGACTCGTCAGGAGCAGGGGAGCAGCAGGGAAACCCCGAGTGGGAGTGGGAGATCGGGGCCGGCTTCCCAGCCGGAACGGAGTGAAGAGGGTGGAGTTCCCAGTGTGACACACGGAGCAGAGCAGGAAGCAGACAGGGGAAGGAGATCGGGGCAAGACGTCCTGCCGGAAGGGGCGGAGAGTAGTACAGAGAGTAGTATAACTGTCAAGAGGAAGGTCAGGGGTAGCGAACGCGCGCCAAGTTCAAATGTGGAGGCGCGCGGAAATGCGGAGAGCCCGGAGGAGGAGCCTGGTCCCAAAGCACGGAGGAGGGGGGAGCAGGCGTCTGGGGACTCAGCGTCCGGGGAAAGCAGGAGGGAAGGAACCCAGGGGGGCAGAAAGACCCTGCGGAAAAGGAAGCACAGGAAGAGGTGGACCAGCACAAGCCTCTTAAACTGGTGTGGAGGCGGGACTGATTCAGAGGGGACTTCAGCGGTCTAAGCATAACAGACGTGGGGCTGCGCGCCTCGGCTGTGGAACAAACAATGTACTTCAATAAAGACTTTTGTAAATAAAGTGGACTTGGCGTTGGTCTCTTGTGAGCTGGGACCTGAGGTGGCCCTGACAACATAGATTAGGAATCATTTGTTATTCTGGTTTAAAATAAAATAAAATTCTTAATTTTGTATGAATTCATATGCATGTGCATTTTTACCACAGGTTCCAGTCAGGATTGTGGTGGCCTCACATATAATGCATTGGTCACTGGGGTCAGGTAGCTGTCGAGTTCACCGGTGCCTCCACTGGCAAAGTTGGATCCAGACGCACACCTGAAGTATGCAGCCTTTCTCAACCTGTGGGCCCCCAGATGTTGTTGAACTACAACTCCCATCACCCCTAGCTAGGAAGGCCAGAGCTCAGGGATGATGGGAGTTGTAGTCCAACAACATCTGGGGACCCACAGGTTGAGAACTGCTGCTTGTAGAGGAGAACCTTGTAGAGAACAGGTGACCTGCCAAGTCCTGAATCCAGGAACCACCCACTCTTAGGATGTCAGGATTCAATCCCAGTATATTGGCCCTCATCCACGCCACAACTGCTTCCAAGCCCTGGCCTAGGTCCTACACCCCTGCTTAAATGATGCACAGAAATAGAGCTGAGTACAGTAGCAGAAAGAGGGATGCGGGTGGCGCTGTGGGTTAAACCACAGAGCCTAGGGCTTGCCGATCAGAAGGTCGGTGGTTCAAATCCCCGCGATGGGGTGAGCTCCCGTTGCTCGGTCCCTGCTCCTGCCAATCTAGCAGTTCGAAAGCATGAAGTTCAAGTAGATAAATAGGTACCGCTCCGGGAGGAAGGTAAACAGCGTTTCTGTGCTCTGCTCTGGTTCTCCAGAAGAAGCTTAATCATGCTGGCCACATGACCTATGACCTATACGCTGGCTCCCTCGGCCAATAAAGCGAGATGAGCACTGCAACCCCAGAGTCAGCCACGACTGGACCTAATGGTCAGGGGTCCCTTTACCTTTACCTATACAGTAGCAGAGCTGGCTGCATGGGCACACAGGGTGGCGGCCATGCTGTGCACTCGGGGGGGGGGATCTGCCGTGTGGGGGCGGGGCAATCTGCTGCACGGGGCGGGGTGATCCTCCGCGCATGGCGGCGGGGCGATCCTCCATGCGTGGCAGCGGCACAATCCTTTGCGCACGGCTGCAGAGGTGAGATCCCTCGGGGGCGATGGGGCAAGTTGGGGGGTGCCTTTTTGTCACCCCATTCAGAGATGGCACCTGGGGTGGGGTGCACCCCCCCTGCATCCCCCTTCCTATGCCCCAGGCTGAGTGTCACATTGTCTACAAAGTAGTAATATCTAGCACCAGATCCCCTAATGACCACTTCCCCAGGGCTTAATACAGATCACGCCTTTCCAAACTGAGCTTCATTTGGATGAAACAAAATAATAAAAATTCATTCCAGTAGCACCTTAGAGACCAACTAAGTTTGTCACTGGCATGAGCTTTCATATGCATGCACACTTCTTCAGATATCTTCATTTGGATGGTACACAGCATGTTTTTGAAGAATGGCAGATGTAGTGGCTGCACTTGAAAAGTGAGTCTGGTGGGCACAACAGAAACATCCACTGCATTAAAAATTCATATTGATTTGTAATTGTGCTTTTAATGCTTTTATTTCTTATATAGTACAATAAAATTTGATACTTAAGAAATAAAAGAAGCAATAAAAATACAATTAAGAATCACACAACAACTAGCAGTTTATTACAATTGCTACCACTAGCAGAAAAATCATTAGGGGGTCCACCAGGATCATCAGCATATTTTTTTTTTAAAAAAAGGAACCAAAGATATAGATGTTAAAAGGCATTGGCACCAACATGGTAAGGATGGATGGATCAGACCAATTCTTATTCCATCCAATTCCACACTTTCTCAGCATGTTCTAAACTGAGGTTCATCTGCCTTTGTCCCATTGTCTTCACTGACTTAAGCACTTCTTGTTGCCTCAAATGGACCTTTTTAAATGAGGTTATTGATATGAATGCGGATACAAAGCTCATGCATGTGATTCAAAACAGTCTATGGATTGCAAATCCAAGAAAACAGTAAACACAGCTGCCTATCTTCCTAATTCACTTGCTCATGATGGTTTGAAGCACATCAATGAGACTTAAAAGAGGTAGCTTGAAGGAAATGAGCTAAATACAACTCACCAGTCGTCCGTCTGCTACACTTGGAGAATCTGTCAGTGCTAAAAGTGCCAGTTTACACCTGTTCCTCGATCCAAACTGCACCACATTGCTAGTACTGCCACTCAGTGAAGCCTCCTCTGCCAGATATTCTTCCAGTTCTGGACTGGTCCCCCCAGTCACCAGTGACTGCAGTAAAGCCAACACATGGTGATTATGGTAGGTCTGCAATGAAAATGTACAGAAGACAAACATTCATTTCTACCAGATGATACAAAAGACAGCAAATCCAATTAGACTTGTTAGGGCCTTCCTGTAGGTATTCTAGAACAATGGTTTTCAAATTTCCTATAATCAAGCAATGCTAATTCACATTAATTTGCCTGCCACCAAGAAGCGTGAACATTTTCTGTGGAGTCCATGTGCATTTTCAGAAGGATCCAGCCTGCCTTTTCAAATATTAACATCGTTACGGTACTGCTCAGGGTTCTCGGGCCTCATTTTCGCACAACACAATTTGAGTGCACTTGCAATGCATTTTCCAGCAGGAATGAATAGCAGGGAAGGTTGTGGTGGACAGCCTCTCTGCCAGGTAATATATATGGCAGGATTAGGACTGCAGGATTAGAACCATTTTGAGGGAATCTTGGAAAATTTCATCAAGCAAAGTTTGATTGCTACTCTAACTGATATCTCTTGAGTGTGCAGGGCATGCTGTGTTGGCCATCAGCTTAATGTATGTGAGGAATCTGAATCCTCACTGGTCTGACACTGGAAATCTCCATATTATTGTGGAGATGTATGAACAAGAAAATAGAGGATCAGCATGGAGACCAGTATAGGGCCACAAACTATTAAATTCAGATGACTGGGTGACTATGATTATTTCCGAAAAATAAGGGGACACCAAATCTCTCATGACAGCCTTAAGCAGGGCCTTAAGCAGGCTTCCTCAACCTCAGCCCTCCAGATGTTTTGACACTACAATTCCCATTATCCCTGACCACTGGACCTGCTAGCTAGGGATCATGGGAATTGTAGGCCAAAAACATCTGGAGGACTGAGGTTGAGGAAGCCTGGCCTTAAGATTAGAAAAACAAGTACCAGCAAAGTACCCCAACCTCTTAAAGGTATTTAGGGAATCTGAAGGGATGATTCATATGACATGCAGATGGTAGCATTATTTATGAGTGTTATTTATTCGTTTCAGAGAGGATGTACATGTTGGTGAAGTCCTTTCCTTTCAACCTGGCTTAGGTAAAGGTAAAAATAGAGGACCCCTGGATGGTTAAGTCCAGTCAAAGGCGACTATGAGGTTGCGGCGCTCATCTCGCTTTCAGGCTGAGGGAGCCGGCATTTGTCCACAGACAGCTTTCTGGGTCGTGTGGGCAGCAGGACGAAACCGCTTCTGGTGCAATGGAACACCGTGACGGAAACTAGAGTGCACAGAAATGCCGTTTGTCTTCCCGCCACAGCGGTACCTATTTATCTACTTGTGCTGATATGCTTTCGAACTGCTAGGTTGGCAGGAGCTGGGACCTGACATATTGTTATTAGGATAGTAAAGTAAATACCATAAAACCTGCCAAGCATTTAAATAACTGAATGGTCCTTGCAAACTTACAGGCCATGCTGGTGAATTGCACTTCAATTTTACTTGAGCCTTTTCTGCCTTTTTGAGGAGGGATTTTTTCAGAATTATCATGTTCTCTTGGCCAGGCTTATCTAGCTCAGAGGGAGTCAACATTTTACATACTTTGCTGAGCTCTTTAACATATCATGGCTAAACTTTTTTGACATCAAAAGGATTTCATTTACATACTTGGCTTAATTAATCGGATTTATGTGTCACCTGCATTTTATTTGCTGAGTTATACACTGTTTGAGTTTGCAGAGTGAAAAGAAAGACAACTAAAGAGAGCTGAGTTTCTTTAAGAACATCCCTGTGGTAAATGTGAGTACATTCAAGAGAACTTTCAGTCTCATTGAAAAGGATCGCACTCCTGCAAAAATCCTAATTCACCTAGACATTACTGATATGCTTAGGCACTGTACATTGATTAAACAGGGTAAGGTAAAGGTAAGTACCCCTGCCCGTACGGGCCAGTCTTGACAGACTCTGGGGTTGTGCGCCCATCTCACTCAAGAGGCCGGGGGCCAGCACTGTCCTGGAGACACTTCCGGGTCACGTGGCCAGCGTGACATCGCTGCTCTGGCGAGCCAGCGCAGCACACAGAAACGCCATTTACCTTCCCGCCAGTAAGCGGTCCCTATTTATCTACTTGCACCCGGGGGTGCTTTCGAACTGCTAGGTTGGCAGGCGCTGGGACCGAGCAATGGGAGCGCACCCCGCCGCGGGGATTCGAACCGCCGACCTTTCGATCGGCAAGCCCTAGGCGCTGAGGCTTTTACCCACAGCGCCACCCGCGTCCCTATTAAACAGGGTAACAACAACAAAATCAGTCTTGAGGTAATTGAATGCATGATTACATCAATATTATTTTGGTGGTGTTTTACCCATGCTCAAGAAGTGCATATGCACAACTGTAAAAAAACTGCGCACACACCAATGTTCAAGATTAGTTTTGGGCAGTCATTGGGCCCTGAAAATGTTAAGAAATTGCACATGCTCTAATTCCAGAATGAACTTTAGAAATTCCTCCACTTAACACCACAATTCAGGAGTAGAATGCAAGACAGAGGCAAGTTATGAAACAGTTAAGCAATGAAATGGGTGAAATCTACTCAAACCTGGCTTTAAGATTTTTAATAATATGGATAATTAGTTACATATTCACACAACTTTGTTATCTAGTGCTAACTATCATTAGTACAACATTAGGTAAAGGTAAAGGTACCCCTGCCCGTACGGGCCAGTTGTGTCTGACTCTAGGGTTGTGCGCCCATCTCACTTAAGAGGCTGGGGGCCAGCGCTGTCCGGAGACACTTCCGGGTCACGTGGCCAGCGTGACGAAGCTGCTCTGGCAAGCCAGCACCAGCGCAGCACACGGAAACACCGTTTACCTTCCCGCTAGAAAGCGGTACCTATTTATCTACTTGCACTTAGGGGTGCTTTCGAACTGCTAGGTGGGCAGGAGCTGGGACTGAAAGACGGGAGCTCACCCCGCCGCGGGGATTCAAACTGCCGACCATACGATCGGCAAGTCCTAGGCACTGAGGTTTTACCCACAGCGCCACCTGCGTCCCTAGTACAACATTAGCCTATCTCTAAAGTCAAATTAGGATGGATTTGTATGGTATTCTGAGTGAGTGAATTTGCATTTCTTATTGTGTCCAACTCCATTCCAAAGTTCATTCCAGGAATCTAGAGATGTCACCAGGTTGTCCTGGCATCCTCTAGGACCTTTCAGCAACCAAAGAAATCTATCCTACACCATGTGAAAATCTTATAGCCACACAAGTAAAGACCTAACATTATACAGAGGCTCCCTGAGCTGCTCTAGACTTCGATGTACACGTCCAGAGGTTTTGACTATTGCAGAAGAAGCTGTCCATTGCTGAACATGGTAGAGGTCTGGCCTTATATACTTACAGGAATACACTGCACCCTGGGCCCATTCTAGAAATAGTTCTGCCAAAATAAACCCTGCTCCTATAAACCCTAGTTATACATTCCACCAAATTTCAGAAAAGTAATTCCTGGCTTTAATCCAAAATAAATGCATGTTTTAGGTTAGAAGTGCATAATACATTTTGCAAACAAAGCAAACATGGACAGCAAGTCAAACTGCATTTCTGCCCATAGTAGAACTTTGCTGGAAGAGGTTAACAATTCAGTGGAGAATCATGCTGTTGAATAGTGGGTAGACATGGCAGACGACACAGCGATTTCTCCAAAGCAGCTCTTTATTTTGTAAGCTGGAACAGAACTGAACAGCAAACAGCTCAGCCGGCCTGCTTTTATAGGCAGCCAGCTGTCAACATTGTAGCAACAACAACCCAGGGTTTCCCGCCTAAAATAACTGACGTGGACCTGAGTGAAAACTATCTACAGTATCCCCCCCCCCCGGTGGCCCAAGGTGAGAACTTCACTACATAAAACATGCTTAACCATTTCTACCCAGCAGTCTTCTAGAGATGGGTGATTTAATATGAGACTCAAGTTGGAAGGTCTAGAAGGGACTTACAGTGCACATTATAGCATCCAAAAAGCTGTCAGAAAATACTGTTCCTCTGGATATCTGTTGCATTCCATAAACAGATTCATTTGTGCTGCTCTGTTCAAAGAATTGTGCATTGGAGGCGATCTCTGAAAGAGGACAGAGCAATAGCAGAAGCTCAGCCGCTTGCAAACATCAAGGTTGTATATAATCAATAGAAATTATCATAATTAAACTCAACAATTTCCTGTGCTGTAAAATAATGGAAATAATGTGAGAGAAAGGAAGGAGCGGTTGCTTTAATGGACTTGTATGACCAAATTATTTACTGAGGCCAGGAGTAGAGATCCATCAAGAAATGAGCTCTTGTGACAATAAATAATGGTGATGATTATCAGTAAGCAAGCAAGCTAGATGCATTTATAATTATATTATGATAGATCAGAAGTCTTTTGGGCTTTGTGACAAGGCTGAGTACTAAGACTCACCTGGTTTGTGAAAACAAACAAGTCAACATTTAATTACATTTCCCCTACCACACATGCCCATATTTATATTAATACAGTGGAAGACGCAGGCCAACAATATTTGGGAAGCAATATTTGGAAAGTAAGTAAAGTTACTTAAGTAAAAATAGTTAAAATAAGAAAGATGTTCTCAGTTAAGATAATCATTACTGGGGCAGAACAGCCACCATAAAGTGACTTTTTAAATCTGCATTTTTCATATAAGAACATTGTGAATGTTTCTGATATCTCAGGAGACCTTGACTATTCCAAATCCCTCACTGCCAGGCTCAGAAACCATATCCCTCAATTATTGCATTTCATCCCTTTCTTTTCCCCAAAGGCGATCTTCCTTGAGCAGCAACTGAATGTGGAGAGTGAAGGGCTGCTCCGCAGGTCTTGAATGGACCCCTACACCTTCACAGCCCAAAAGTATCTTAAGGACCCAGTTGCTGCTGGGGAAAGTAACTATTTGGGGAAAGGATGGAGGAATATTTCAACAGACTGAGCTTCTGTATAAGCCTAACCCAAACGCAAAGTGGTTTTGGCTTGGAACATAAAAAGTTTGTTATTTCCAAAGTGGAGGTGCTGTTTTCAACCACCTCCAATTCTGAAATCCAGCCACATCAGTAGTTTTAATCATTACAAACTGTCAAAAGATCCAAGAATGGTGACTGAAAGGAATAGATGCTCACCGAAACTTAAAAGCACTTCCAAATCCTCCAGAAACATCCATGTGGATGTTGCAGGGATGAAAAAAAAGTTTTGCTTTAGTTTCATGCTGAGTCTTTGTAACACTTTGTTACATATATTCTCCTTATAAGCTATTGAGACTTCTTCAAAGCCTGTGAATTAACATTTAAGTCAAATCTTTTTTATGTTCCTTGGACACGGCATGCTGTCATTTTCTGTCTTTGAATTCTAAAGAGGTTGCAGGAGTAAATAAATAATGCATCAGGCATAACACTGGTGAAATTTGTTCCCAAAGAAGAACTTACTCAGCTCAGTGATGATGGGAGTCCGTTTGGAAAGGATGGGCGCTGATGTACTATCAATTGTTCCCTGACTGATTTCCGTTCGAGTAACTTTCAGTAACAATGCAGGAAAAAGAAAGAAGAGAAAGTCAGGGATCAAAGAGCTAAATTTTGAGACTGCCCAAAAGTGCTTATTGTATATTACTGTAACTATAAAAGACTGTTTTTTGCATGCCGTTCTCCCAAGCTTCATTGTCTTGAAAGATTTGAGATATCTACTTGAAAGCTCTTCCTGGAGCTGTTTATTGTCATCAGATATCAGTCAGTCAAACCAGTGGTCCTGAAGCTGTAAATGAAGTCAACCCTAAATTCCATAATTCCTCTTCTCTACTAGCTTTCCAGAGAGGGTACAAAGAAATAAGATCCCTGATGGATCAGACCAAAGCCCATCTAGTCCCACATTGGTTGTATCCAACCATGTTCTACTCACAGTACATCTAGTGAAATTAATGAACCAAGGTTTGTCATATCAATTAGCTTCAATGGAGTAGGACTAGTGTTGGATACAACCAAGAGTGGACAACTGGATTCCTATAGGAAGCCCCCAAGCAAGACCTGGGTGCAACAACAGTTTTCCCATGCATAATTTCCTAGTGACTGCTGTGTAGAGGTATACGGGACCGCCTCTCCTGGTATGCCCCACAGAGAAACTTACGGTCTTCAAATAAAAACATCTTGAAGGTCCCAGGCCACAGAGAAGTTAGGCTGGCCTCAACTAGAGCCAGGGCTTTTTCGGCTGTGGCTCCGATCTGGTGGAACACTCTGTCACAAGAGACCAGGGCCCTGCGGGACTTGACATCTTTCCGCAGGGCCTGCAAGACAGAGCTGTTCCACCAGGCCTTTGGCCAGGGCACAGCCTGACTCACTCCCTCGGCAATCTTCGTGGAGCTCCGGCCCAATGGTTGCTAGTGGCTTGAATTAATTAATTTTTATAATGAATGATTTTAGAATGTTGTTTATGTTGTACTTTTGTACTGTTTTATTGTTGTTAGCCGCCCTGAGCCCGGCTTCGGCTGGGGAGGGCGGGATATAAATAAAAATTTATTATTATTATTATTATTATTATTATTATTATTAATGCCTCCAATAGTGGCGGCATCTTTTTTATATGGGTTGCAGTTCAGCTGATGTGTTGCTTCAGTGCTGCTTAGATCCTCTGTGCTTTGCAATTTTTCTCCTAACTGTTTTAGTTACCCCTCCGTGTTGCCTTGAGCATATGGGAAAGCTGCTCAACAAATAGATTTAGCAAGACATCAGTTGAATTTATCTTAGTTATATTAATTGTTCAATGAAGACCAAAGCCAGTCTGCAAGAGACATCTTTCAGTGTGCATGTGTGTGTACGTACGTCAGTATGCTTGTGTGTATTCTCAGCACCCATCTATCTCAAGAGACAATGGAGCGCGCCTCAGTCCAAAGCTGTAGCCATTTAAGGGTTGTGAGTCATCCCAGAGCCATCCCCACCACCCTGCCTGTAAAAAAGTGACTTTTTCTCATGCAGGCCGGCAGTATTTTCCCCAATTGCTCACTTAGACCTCCATCTGCACTTTACATTTTAGGGTGCTAAAAGTTTTAAGAGGAAACCCCTATTCCCCTCACAAAGCTATGCTACAAAAAGGGATTTAATATCAATCTCTTTTCCCAGGGAACTCTGGGAATTGTGGCTCTCTGAGCATAACAGGGGTCTCTTTACAATTCTCAGCACTATTAGCAAACTACACTTCCCATGATTTTTTGGCGTAATATTTATTTATATGCAGTGTGAACACAAGACTTTAGACATAAACTTGCTGGCTCCCATTTCCTATGTTTCTGGTCAGTGACTACAAAGGTATTAGAATAACCTGTGGGAACTAGGGGTGTTGGTCTTCATTTCAAATTACATACACACACCTGAAAAAAGACCCCATTTATGATATAAGAACAGTTTCAATTTAAAGGATTGGTACAATCTGATTGCAGATTGTGACATAAAAAATACACAGTCCTGTTTATTTGCTTGCAGACAAAGTAAAATAAAGCAAGAATTAGCCCCCACCATTTCTCGATTTAAACCCAGGAAAGCATTTGGTGTATTTTCTTCTCCCACCCATATGCTAATGAAGAAAACAAGGTCACACTACCAAGGTGGAAATAAATTGGATTAAAAATGGAATTGGCTGTATAAGCAGGAATTTGGGTGGTATTAAACTTGTCGGTGGGATATTTTTGTCACGAGATAAAGGAATTATAAAATAGATTTCGGAGTGCACATAGACGAATACAATCCTACAGGATTCAAGGGGGGCACACCTTTGTGCAGCAGTTAATCCAATTTCAAAGTCAATGAGGCCTATAGTAGTCACTCAGCAAGTTGTTTAAAAAAAACAGACCGGGAAGATGAAAATGTTTTCAAAGTGCTATAAGAGGCGCCTATCTAAGACAATGAAATCTTCAACGTCTTAGAGAGCAGATCCACCCTGTTGAATATTATCAATTAAGTATCATATACCTTATCTGTAGGTACTTTACTGTAGGTATTTTATTGACTTCATTTCAGTTATTTGAGAATATCTAGGTAACAGACCAAAGTCACACTCTGGTGCAATGATGGGATGAAACATCACTGCTAATACAAATATATCACTGGAAAGTTACGGGGGCAGTATAATTAATTTGCCATATTGCTAAAGGAAGGTTTGTGCAACTGAGTTGTTCGATAGCTTTTTTGAGGTTTCACTCAAAATGGCCACTGCCCTGTATTCCAGCCACAGCCTCCAAACCATCTTCAATGCTAGGTAGCAGCCAGGTTCTGCTGCCTATGAAGGTATGTGAGCTTGGCAGGACCCTCACAGCGTCCTGTAGGCGGATTTGCAAGACCTGGCAGAAGCCAGATGCTCCCTTTGCCAACTGAGGGCATGGCACAAGCTGGACAAGGCAGTCCCACAACAGAGGGCCAGGTGGCAAAATGTGATAATAGAGTGCATTACATTCATATAACATGAAGGTGACCAGAGCATGGATTACTATGTCCAAGCTATCTTTAACTAGGGAATGGCTAACCAAAACTGGAAACAGTCACTCTAGACCAGTACTGGTAGCAGCTCTCCAGGGTCTTGCACTTTCTCTGCCACCAGATTATTTTAACCTGCTGTGCTAGAAATTGAACTTGGGACATTCCGCATGTGAAGCATATGCTAAACCACAGTTCCTCCCATAGGAGGGGGCAGATAGAAAAGGCCTGAAAGAAGGGGCAAAATGCAGCAAGTGAAAGAAGGATAGAGAAAGAAGTTGTTACACGAGGAGGACAACGTTCCTGCCCCTCTCCACCTGGCCTAGGGTGGGGCCTGACAGGCCATATAAGAACTGCTGCTGTGGCTGCTGTTCAGCAAGGACCTGGGTATTCTGAGGGAAGTTTTGTTGGGAGTTTTTGCTGATGTTACTGATATTAACTTTTTGTATTTTTATTTCTACAGTCGTACCTCCGCTTACGTATCCCTCTGGATATGTCAACTTTGGGATGCGAACGTGCCAAACCCGGAAGTATTTTTCTGGGTTTCATCACATGCGAATGCGCAGAAGTGCTAAACCATGCCATGCACATGTGCAGAAGCGGCACCTCCGGTTGCAAATTCCTTGGGATGCAGCCGGACCCCCAGAACGGATCCCCTTCTCAACCAAAGATACCACTGTATGTGGAAATTGTTCAGTTTGGTTATGTAGTTTTTAATGCATTTTATTTATTTTTATGAATACTTTGCTGTTTGCAATTATGTAAATCTTTTCATATTGTAAGCCGCCTTGAGCATTATTTTAACTGTGGAAAGGTGGCATACAAATAAAAAATGATGACGACGATGATGAACATAGCAGAGGCCAAGAGGGGGCAAAGTCACCTGGAATCGGGGAAGAGAATCTGAGGCTATTGACCACTTTGTCACCTACAATCTATCTTTTTGGCTGCTACCAACTCCATCTCCACTGTTTGATGGACACTTCTCTGATTTCTAGATTAATGGTCCTTTCTTCTCACACAGCATAAGATTTAATGGAGGGAGAGAGAAAATCACAAGGCATTATTTTGACTGAATGTGGCTATGATGATAAGGAAAACTGTGTATTAAGATTTCAGTGACATGGTTAAGGTGGTTATGGTGGGGGAGGACATTTGACTGTGTTTGTGTGTCTGTGTGTGTGACACCCCATTGCTCATGCTTTTATGAAAGGTATTTCTAAAAAATATTTCTAAAATATATATGTTTTAAAGGGGAGGAGGAGGAGGAGGGTTCTGTAATGCCCTATTGAGGTTATTGGAGGGCATCGGTGGAGCTGGATCTGACTTCTGTCTTTGGCCCCTTTTACCCCAAACTTGGGAGAGTGTTTGCACAAAAGCCAGAGAAGAAGAAGAAGAAGAAGAAGAAGAAGAAGAAGAAGAAGAAGAAGAAGAAGAAGAAGACAACGATGGAGACAGAATGGTAATGCATCACATTTCAGAAACAAGGCCAGGTAAGTGAGACAGGTAACTATCCATGGTGGAAAACATGCCTTGAATGCAAAAGGCCTCAGGATTGATCCTTGGCATCCCCGGCTGAGTCTCAGGGGATGGAAAAGACCCTTCTCTGTCTGAGACCCTGGAGAGCTTCTGCCAGGTTGGTGAGACAATCCTTGGCTACATACACAAATCATCTGACCAGATTTTAGGAAGCTCCATGTTACAAAGAAGCTCCTTTAATAAGGAAGCTCCATACAACTCCAAAAACTGGTGGAGAAAATCAAATGAGAATTCCAGCAGTGCACCTATTTAGATGAGACAGTTTTTGATTTTAATATGAAGGTAGCCATGCCCTGGCTACAGTTTCCTTATGTCAATATTTTTGCTCCCCAGGAGTACACAGCCCTATACCTGAAATCTCTCATCTTGGCAGGCTGCTATTACAAAAGATTACCTAATTGCACATTTCTACTGTATGTTTGGATTGTAGCAGCATATTAAGCTGTCAGGCTTAATTATTGTTGTATGTTTAGATTATGCCACAGATTATTTAGTTCAGTACCTAGGTTTGCCAACCTGTTTGTGATGGAACATGACAGGATACTAATTACAGCAATGCTGAGAAATCTATTCCCCCCCCCCATGGGAAACAATGTCATGTTTCCACCCCTATTAGGAGAGTTCCATACCCCTGTATTTAGATAACAGAAGGTTATCAGGTAACTGAGCCATATAAGATCTCCCATGAATGAAGTGTGTCTGCCTGAGCTCATTGTGAGTTCTGAAAGGTTTTTACACCGATGAAAAATCTTTAAAGAAAAAGATTTCATAAAGAACTTCAAAACATCAAGCAATATTTGCACAACAAAAAAAGATGGTATGAAAGCACAGAACATTTAACAAAAATCTCAGTGTAGCAGCTGAAATAAGTACAAGCACATTTTGAAAGCTTACTATGAATTCCTAAGGAAGTGGAGTTAGTCTTTCATTCGACATCCTAGTCATATGATCCCTCTGAGCTTTCCCAATGAGGAAGAGAAGAAGCCTCATTGATGTGAGGGACTGAGTCAGGTGTGGGGAAGCTGTGGCTCTTCAGGTGTTGCTGAACTACAACTCCCATCATCCCTGGCCATTGGAGTTGTAGATCGGTAACCTCTGGAGGTTCCCCACCCCCCACCCCAAAGGTTCCCCACACCTGGGCTAGAATGTCATTGAGTTTCTCTGAACTGGGATCTAATATTTATACCCTTAAAACCATGAGCTTTGCTAATGATACCTAAGTTGAAAAATACCTTTGACATGCATTTTTTAACAACTGAGTTATTTGCATTACAAGCTATGACAAGAAGATGAATATAAGCTTCATTTGTATAGGTAAAGGACCCCTGGATGGTTAAGTCCAGTCAAAGGCAACTATGGGGTTGCGGCAACTTGTCTCACTTTCAGGTCTAGGGAGCCGACTTTTGTCCACAGACAGCTTTCTGGATCATGTGGGCAGCATGATTAAACTGCTTCTGGCACAACAGAACACCGTGACAGAAACCAGAGCGCACGGAAACACTGTTTATCTTCCTGCTGCAGCGGTACCTATTTATCTACTGGTGTGCTTTTGAACCGCTAGGTTGGCAGGGGCTGGGAAAGAGCAACGGGAGCTCACTCTATCGGGGGGATTCGAACTGCTGACCTTCTGACTGGCAAGCCCAAGAGGCTCAGTGGTTTAGACCACACGTCCTTGATTCTATTACCCTGTTTGTTTGAACTTTCAAAATATCCTTATTCCAATTTTTGTCTTTTGAAGTTACCACTGAACAACAAACTGTGTGAAGCTCAGCTTATCACTAAACAATTTCTTGGCTTTAGGTCAGGTTTGTGCCCTACCTGTGATTCACTCAATATATCTTATTAAGCTCCAAAGTTACTTCCACTGTACCTTCATTGTATCCTGTAAGCAAGCGATATTAATAATACTAGCTGAGACCTAACTAGTTCAGGACCAGGTTATCTCCAAGACCACATTTCCCTGAATAATCTTCCCAGTCCACTGCGTGTGCTATCATGCCCCTCAACTGTCTTGCTGAAATCTGAATATCCCATTTTTGAGAGCTGTGCTCTCGTGTGAGAGCACGGCACCCAAAAATGTGTGAGAGCTTGGTGCTAAAAACATGTGAGATTGCGGCAACAAAAGTCACGTCTTTTGGGGCTGTGATCTCACACAGGAGCATGGTGCCCAAAAACACGTTTTTTAGGCGTCGTGCTCTTACATAAGTCATGTGACTCGTTCGGGAGCATGGCCCTTGGAAGATGAGCATCCTGGTTTTCCGCTACAACATGTTGAAGGTATGGGTAATGGGACAGGGCCCTCCTGACTGTTCCATGGCCTACTGTAGGTTGGTTGGCAGGGGTCCAAAGGAAGTCCTTTTCCACTGTGGCACCCTTTTAATTAAATGAGCTCCCTAAGGAGATCAAGTGAGCAGCAATGAGCTTTCTGTCTACTCTGACATTTCCTTGGTATTTGGTTCTGATTACTGTACTTTACTTATTTAGTTAAAAGCATTTATATACTGCTTAAAGCAATAAACAATATAATTCAACCATATTTTATTTGGTAAAAAAACGAGATGCTGCTACTCATAACTTGATAAAAGTGCTGTTTGTGAGTCAGTGGTACCTCGCAAGACGAATGCCTCACAAGACAAAAAACTCGCAAGATGAAAGGGTTTTTGGTTTTTTTAGTTGCTTCACAAGACGGTTTTCCCTATGGGCTTGCTTCGCAAGACGGAAACATCTTGCAAGTTTGTTTCCTTTTTCTTAACACCGTTAATACAGTTAATACAGTTGCGACTTGACTTCGAGGAGCAACTCATAGCGCGCGGTGTGGTAGCCTTTTTTGAGGTTTTTGAAGACTTTGGTGATTTTTGAAGCTTTTCCAAAACTTTTCCGTAACCGTGCTTCGCAAGACGAAAAAAATCGCAAGACGAAAAAACACGTGGAACGAATTAATTTCGTCTTGCCAGGCACCACTGTACCAGCACAAAATGGATGCCAAAGGCAGCAAAAAAAAGAGAGAAAAGTGATGGTACTTTGTACAAGTAAGTAATGTCACACACAAAAAGAAGAGGAGTTTGGATTTGATATCCCGCTTTATGACTACCTGAAGGAGTCTCAAAGCGGCTAACATTCTCCTTTCCCTTCCTCCCCCACAACAAACACTCTGTGAGGTGAGTGAGGCTGAGAGACTTCAGAGAAGTGTGACTGGCCCAAGGTCACCCAGCAGCTGCATGTGGAGGAGCAGAGACGCGAACCCAGTTCACCAGATTATGAGTCCACCGCTCTTAACCACTACACCACACTGGCTCACCATACCAGCAAGAAAAATATGATATTAAACTAGTAAAGCAGTGGTATGAAAGCATAATCAAATGATTTAAAACAGGAAACAAAAAACAGTATCCAATCTTATGCTCAGATATATTTCTAACCATGTTTACAGATGCTGAGTAGAAAACACTAAGCTATGAATTCTAACTGGAAAGACAGTTGGTGTCTAGGTGAATGGTGAGCTATATCAAGCTATATCAAGTTTAGTAGGGCAGGGAATATACCTAATATTTGCTTTCTTTCTCAATATTTCTGCAAGATCATAGGTAACCATCAGGGTGGACTTCAGTAATATGGCGCTCTGAATGTTCCCTACAGATTTCTTATTTTATTTTAATTCCTTTTCTTTTAAATTTCTTTTAATTCCTTTTGGTATAGTTTTTTATGGCTCTTCCCAGCAGCTACCAGTATAAATACAGGATATTATTATTATTATTGTTATTGTTGTTGTTATTATTAGTCTCCTTGGCTTGGTGCCTTGGGGGGGGGGACCACCCAAACAGCCCTAAATCCAGGGCTACAACAACTTAATCATGAAGCAAAGATTAATGAGAAGCTATTTAGGCAGCAATAAATTGCAACGTTAATTAAAACTAAGTGAAATGATGAATTAGAACACAGACTTCTGGGATCACAATGCCACTATATCTTCTCTCTCTAATACAGTGGTACCTCAGGTTACAGATGCTTCAGGTTACAGACGCTTCAGGTTACAGACTCTGCTAACCCAGAAATAGTACCTCGAATTAAGAACTTTGCTTCAGGATGAGAACAGGAACTGTGCAATGGCAGCGGGAGGCCCCATTAGGTGAAGTGGTACCTCAGGTTAAGAACAGTTTCAGGTTAAGAACGGACCTCCAGAACGAATTAAGTTCTTAACCCGAGGTACCACTGTACACATAACTGGAAACAGTAGCAACACTTTACAAGAGTAGGGGGGAAATGGCACTTTTGCATGTGTGGATGTAAGTTGCTGCTACTCATAAAGATTTTCCCTACGTTCAAAAGCTAGTGCTTTGGGATGACCAGTCCCAAAGTGAGATTGGAGTGTGTTGGACCTTCACTGAACTCTACAAAATAGGATTTACAAGATAAATGTATTGAGCCCATTGGTCCAGCAGAGTTCTTCTTATACAGTGGTACCTCGGATTACATACGCTTCAGGTTACAGACTCCGCTAACCAAGAAATAGTACCTCAGGTTAAGAACTTTGCTTCAGGATGAGAACAGAAATCGTGCTCCGGCGGCGTGGTGGCAGCAGGAGGCCCCATTAGCTAAAGTGGTGCTTCAGGTTAAGAACAGTTTCAGGTTAAGAACGGAGCTCCGGAACGAATTAAGTTCTTAACCCAAGGTACCATTGTATTCTTATGGAGGTAGCTATCACAATCCTGTATGCTGCACTGCAACATTTGGCCAGCCACTAAACTGGATCACGTTACTATGTAGTTTGTTTAAGAGCAATGTGTTACTTTGTATTTGCAACATTTATTATGTAACTAGTTTATAACAGTTGGCAGTAAACCTTTTTCTTGCGGTGGAGAGCTCATTCATTTCTATTCTGCACAAGGTCCGGATCAGGGATTCCACTTGCAACAACCCTAACAAAAACTGTGTGTGCCACACAATCTGCCCTGCACCTCATAAGCTAGCCTACTGACCCTACTCCAATGCAGAAGAGTCGACTTCCAGTCAGGTTGGCCTCTGCATTGTGAAATGGAGGGAAATAGCATTTTGTCCTCATCTTAGGCAACAATATGCCTTTGGCCAGCCCTGGAGACAGAATGCTGGGATAGGTGGATGGACTTTTGATTTGGACCTATTCCTCTCATTCTCTATACCATACTCCCTTTCTGTTCCATTTTCCTCCCAGCCAGTATGGAGCCTAGCAGGTGGGAAAAGGTCTTTGACATTTTTTAAAATCACATCTTCTGCTAATGTAGAAATGGTTAAGGCATGCCCTCATTTGAAGGCACAAGTCTAGCACCACCACTGGTTGTTTTTGGCCCCAGAGACATCCAGATCGTAAGTGTGAAGATGTTTCTTGAACAACTGAGCTTCCTCTTTGATGCAACACACTCTGAACCCCTTAAAATCCCCATTCCTGCTTAGTTATTACCATCTTTTTTAAAAAAATGCAGACCCATCATTTCCTGATTCCACACACACACACCCCTGACTTATTCAAGGGAGTTACATTATGAGTCTACATCACATTCATGAAAAAAAATGCATTTTTGGCAAAGTTTTTGATGTGAAACAAAGAGACTTTATCTACTGCTGCAAAGTTTAAAATAACAACTGAATGGGAACAGCAGGGTGGCAGTATGTCAAAACAACTCAGAAACTGGTCTGTCAGCAGCTGAGAAGAATTGTGTTTAAAAGGCAAGTTTTTAATTGTCTTTATTTTTTATTTTATTTTTTAAAAAACAGATGAGAAACTTCTCGGCCTTACTAAAAATCACATTAACAGTACAATCCTATGCCTATTTACTCCGTTGAATGGGAAAATATCCACTGAAGGCTGCAATACCATACCCATTTTTCTTGGAGTAAGCCCCATTTAACTAAATAGGATTTACTTCAGAGTAGCCATGCATAGGAGTGCACCACTGATCTAATTTCCAGCTCCTGGAACTTTGCTGGATTCAACACTCAAGAATTGAGTCTGCTGCATTCATTCCCCATCATCTATCACAGTTAACCTTCTCTGTGGGAGACTTTATGGAATATTTTTTTGACAGGAAAATGTCACCTCATGACAATTTTTCTCTGTCATTGCACAGTTAAAGCTTTCTTATGAAGGTGCCCGCACACACTGTCAGTCTTATCGCCCGACTTACAGTACAAAGTGACTTCAAAACTGTGGTAAATTATCCACATGATCATGTGACGATGCCTTCAGAAACAAGTTTCTTCCTTTACCTAGGAAAATAACTACTACTTCCAAGTTATTGGGCTCCCTATTAGATAATATTCCTCCAGAAGTGGAGCTGATTTCTGCTTGCACAATAGAGTGTTCAGTTCTTTGCCTTCATCTATGCACACCCTAAATACATTCAGTGCCGAATTTATGTAAAGCTAAACAAGCTATAGGGACGCGGGTGGCAGTGTGGGTTAAACCACAGAGCCTAGGACTTGCTCGGCGGTTCGAATCCCCGAGACGGGGTGAGCTCCCATTGCTCGGTCCCTGCTCCTGCCAACCTAGCAGTTCGAAAGCACGTCAAAGTGCAAGTAGATAAATAGGTACTGCTCTGACGGGAAGGTAAATGGTGTTTCCGTGCGCTGCTCTGGTTCGCCAGAAGCGGCTTAGTCATGCTGGCCACATGACCCGGAAGCTGTACGCCGGCTCCCTCGGCCAATAAAGCGAGATGAGTGCCGCAACCCCAGAGTCGGTCATGACTGGACCTAATGGTCAGGGGTCCCTTTACCTTTAAACAAGCTATAGCTTAGGACTCCACTCTCCTGGAGGCCCCACAAAAAAATTAAAAGGAAAAAAACCCTGGATGTACATTTCCAAAATATAAGATAAAAACAAATAAAACAAAACCTACATACAGCAACAGTGTTTTGTGTTGTGTAAGCTCCTATGATGTAAGTAATGGGCCCCGCCTGCTAGCCTGCTCCCTAAAATATCACTGGTTTGCTCATTTCTGTATATAGCGTGCCTACATTCTGCATGTGCAAATGGCTTTAGATACCAATTAGGTCCATAAATTACCATACAGCATATATTCAACACAAAAGCAGCAACAATTTGTTGTTGACAAAGGACAGCCGGACATATAAAGGGCCCCGTTACCTTCAGTAAAAGGGACGCAGGTGGCGCTATGGGTTAAACCACAGAGCCTAGGACTTGCAGATCAGAAGGTCGGCGGTTCGAATCCCCATGACGGGGTGAGCTCCCATTGCTCGGTCCCTGCTCCTGCCAACCTAGCAGTTCGAAAGCACGTCAAAGGGCAAGTAGATAAATAGGTACTGCTCCGTTGGGAAGGTAAACAGCGTTTCCGTGCACTGCTCTGGTTCGCCAGAAGCGTCTTAGTCATGCTGGCCACATCACCCGGAAGCTGTACGCCAGCTCCCTCGGCCAATAAAGCGAGATGAGCACCGCAACCCCAGAGTCGGCCACGACTGGACCTAATGTTCAGGGGTCCCTTTACCTTATCTTCAGTAGCTTAGGACCTCATCAAACCTAAATCTGGCCCTGAATATATTCTAGGGGGTCCCCTAACCCTCTGGAGCCGATGTGGGGAGAAGTCTGTGTGGGGAGAAGTCTTTCCCTTCCTTACCTAATGATGTGGGGAGAAGTCTTTCCCTTCCTTACCTAATGATGAATTTGCTTTAAAATGTAAGGAACGGATGTTCAGAGTAGCCAGGATAGATTTTGTATCCACCAGGATTTGATCACCAGGACCTCTTGCATGGGCCGAGAGAATGGCACACATGCTACAAAACTGGATGTTGGCTGCTTTGAGATCAGAACAGGAAAGTGCACTGCCCTGGTAAAGAAAAAAGAAAAGGAGTGGAAGTCATGAGGGTCAAAGGACTGGCAAGACTGAAAAATCCAAGCTTCAGCTGAAACATCACCATCATCATTTGAATTTATATACCGCTCTATACCAGAGGGTCTCAGAGCAGTTCACATAATAAAATCAAAATATAAAACCACAACATACCTAATAAAAATAAAAACAACAGCCCAATACCCTCCCCAAAGAAACACATTTTAAAAGGGCATAGGATATAAACTGGATCAACCAAAGGCCTGGTTAAAAAGGAATGTTTTTGCCTGGCACCTAAAGGTGTATAACGAAGGCGCCAGGCAAACATGTATTCAGAAGCTTCGGTGTTTGTTCAAGAGAAACTTGAATCCCATAAAGGCAGGTAAGTCCCATTTCAGGGACACTGACTAAAATACACCCCTTATTTTCTGTTGAATATATGAAAAAAGGTGATGCTTCAGAACAAGGGGCAGATTTCAGATTAAGGAGGCTCTAGCAGGAGGCCATCAGAACCTGAACAGGAAAGCAAAAAGTAGAGAGCTTCTGCACAGAAACAGGGTATTCATGAGGTGTGCTCCACTGATACTCTCAAGAGGAAGTCAAATGATGTTTCTCTCGGAGCCAAATGCACTGGATTTGGAATGAAAACCCAAGTTCCAAAGGAAAACCCAGCAGCTGTTGTACAAGGTGGTTGGGAATAACATGTTCCAAGGTTTTCTTTCTTCAGAGGCAAATCTTCTCAGACGAGATGAGCAAGCATAGCCAGGCCAGTGTGTGATCAGTTTTGTAATACTGACTTTTGTTCATCTCATCCAAAGGGGATCTTGGATAGGAAAGCTGTTCAGGTTGCAGTTGCTGATCTTTCCTATGCAAGATCTTCCTTCAAATTACACCAACAAGTGCTGTCAGTTAAATGAGAAAGTGACCATGCATTAGATTGGCTTAAATTGTTCATCACATCCAAAGAAAAGTAGCTGCCTAAATGGAATAATCCCATAAACCAGGAGTAGGAATCAAATTAGGCCTGACGGGTGTCCACACTCACTCATCTCACACTTGATGTGATATCAGGTGTGGAGCAGGTAGAGTTAAGTCTCCAAGGGAAAAATAATTTCTTGGCAAGTGGAGCTTACTGAAAGCACTGATTGGCTCTCTGGTGCTGACAGCAAGCTCCTCTGAAGTCGTACATTTGCAGGTGCAGGCTAGATTCAACCCACTCCTGAAAATGAGTGTTTCCTTTTTGCAGACAGCTCTAATGATCTGCAGAGGAAATATATCTATTTGCAGGAATGCTCTGAATCCAAACTGTGCCTGCAAACTAACAAAGCTGGGCTCACTATCAGAGCAAATCACTGCTGACAGTGAGCCTTTTTACATTGTCATGTGACAGCATAATGACATAAAATGATTGGCAGGTGACCAGACACACCCACTTGTCAAAAATAACTCCCAGACGGTAGGCCAGTTTTCTTTCTGACCCTTGGGTTGAAAAGGCTTACCCACCCTTACAATAAAGTAGATGTTGGGAAACATTAAGGCAAAAAATAGAGAAGGTTTGTTTCATCTATTCATGCTGACCATGATGGGAAAGCACTCTGTTTATGTATTGCTAACTTGTTTGTTTCTTCATTTTTGACAAGGCTTTTACTTCCAAAGGCATAGCCTCCTTAAATTATGCCATGTGAACATGTTAACTCCTTTTGATCAGTTGTGTTCAACTCAATCCCAAATGCCCACAAAGAGAAGATATTATATGATTAATAATGTCAGGGATGTTTATATTTTGATGATCCAGTATCATTAGAGTTGCTCTGAGGAAGTTTTGAGATCCATGATTTTAACATAAATGCATTTTAAGATGAGAATATTGGGGAGGGGTACGATATGTAAAGAATATGTATACCCTCAGTAAGAATAGTTTGGGGAAATTTTGGATGAATTCCCATTCTCTGTGGAGATAGTCAAGTGATCCAAGAAAGACAATATCCTTCAGCTCACTGAGTGTGAAGTTACTGGCTCGCAGAGGCATCACAAAGTTCCGCAGTCCAATCAGCGCAGAGGTAGCATCTCCAAAAACACAGACTACAATGTGCTCACGCATATCATTGGATTGCCCCTTGCGTCGCTTCTAAACAGGACAAAACAGAACTATATGAAGAAATGAAACATTATTTTAGAAAAATAGTTAAAGGGAAAGGGGGCGATTCTCATGTTGGGAAAGGGATCCTTGACATAATGTCATATGTGCTGCTTTCAGATTTTGGTGGGCCCTTCAATATGATGCTTGCTCATTGCTGTCACAGCGACAACTACCCATTCATTGTGACTGCAATTAATCCAGAATGCGGCAGCTAGACTGGTGACTGGGAGTGGCCGCCGAGACTATATAACACTGGTCCTGAAAGATCTTTATTGGCTCCCAGTAGGTTTCCGAGCACAATTCAAAGTGTTGGTGCTGACCTTTAAAGCCCTAAATGGCCTCGGTCCTGTATACCTGAAGGAGCATCTCCACCCCCATCGTTCAGCCAGGACACTAAGATCCAGCGCTGAGGGCCTTCTGGCGGTTCCCTCACTGTGAGAAGTGAGGTTACAGGGAACCAGGCAGAGGGCCTTCTCTGTAGTGGCGTCTGCCCTGTGGAACGCACCCCCAGCAGATGTCAAGGCAATAAACAACTATATTACTTTTAAAAGACAACTGAAGGCAGCCCTGTTTAGTGAAGTTTTTAATGTCTGACGCTGTATTGTTTTTAATATTCAGTTGGAAGCCACCCAGAGTGGCTAGGGAAACCCAGCCAGATGGGCAGGGTATAAATAATAAATAATTATATATTATATTATTTACCTTCTCCCCTTGGACTCAGTTCATACCATTATCGAGAGGGAGAGGAGCAAAGGGAGTGACTATCAAGAGTCTTTGGTTCCTTCTCCTTCCACCTAGTCCTACCAGTTTTCTTGGAAAGGGTAGGCAAAAGGATAGTGACAGCAAGGGAAAGCAAGATAGGTCATGCCTGATGATACAGATACATGATTTTAGCCAGGTTCACCACAAAGACTGGTGGTTGAAACAAACTGAGAAGAGGGGATACCAATTTAATTTCCCTGTCCAAATCTGAAGTTCAGAATGTATCACACTATCTCAAAATGTCTTTTTTCGCTTATGGAGGGGAACCTCCTCCCCCTCCCCCCCCTACCAAGACCAGAATTTCAAGTGTGATATTCTAGGATTTCAACTTCTGTGGTTTGGAAGGTGGATTTCAGTTTAAATTACACAGAATGTTGGCACTTCTCTTCTTTAAAGACCAGTGATTCATAGGAAATCAGATTCATTCAACTGATCAGCCACCCATAAGCAATTATCTAGGCAATGTACATTTAAAAAACCAACAACGAAGAAACAAAAACCTATTCAAAATCAGTGTTATGATAAAACAAGTTAAGAAGCAGCAAATAAGGCAATTTTGAAATCAAAATAAATCACTTTAACGCAGAGATCAAGAAATTAAAACATTGCAGTACCAATTTGAACAGAAAGCTGAAATAATTAAAATATCACAGAGCTAAATAGCCATATGTTGCCTTTTAAAAAATAAATGTTAACATTTTAAAAGTCCTGCGGGCAGTGTGTGTGTGTCTTTCCTTGGTACTGAAAAGCCATTTAAGTAGGCAGCAGTTAAGCCTCTCTGGGAAGGACATTTCACAACTGAGGGGCCACTGCTGGAAAGGCCCTTTCTGTTGTTGCCATTTTCTGTATCTTAGTGGCTGGATATCCTAGAAGAAAGACATCATTTGATGATCTGAAGGCTTGGATAGGCAGTCTTTCAGATACAGGCAGAGCAATCCTATCAAAAGCTGACCAAATTTATGTCAGGTGAAATTAAACTGGAGTAATTTACACCTATTCCAGACATTTTTCAGGTGCTGAGCAACTGCCATGTGAACTGGCCTGAGTCTGGCACCCTTTTTGCCAGCATGGCATCCACCAGATTGCCAGGTCATGTGATTCAACTGAAAGAGGCTGTGAACAGGTGTCAGTCTTTCCTTGTCCCATCACACCCTTCCATACCACTTTTGGGGGACTTGCATGAGCATATGTTCTGCCAGCTGAGCCCTGGCTAAACTGGGATGAGAGTTACACTGGCTCAACTGGGACAGTTGGATATCTGCCTATTCTAAATTCACTCATTGTGGTGGATCTTGGGTTTGTGTTGGACTTTTAGGTCCCATACCAAGAAGAACTTCAACGATGGGGGTGGACACTTTGTGTCTGGTGCAGAAATATATGTTGTGCCTAGCACTGGTCTAGCATACACACACACTTTCACATTTCCTCCCATTTTTCAGTGATGGCTCCGACCTGGTGGAATGCTCTGTCCCATGAGACTAGGGCCCTGCAGGACTTGATCTCCTTCCGCAGGGCCTATAAAACAGAGCTATTCCACCTGGCCTTCAATTTGTATTAGCCTGATCCTCTATTCCCTTTCCCCTTTCCTCTTCTATGAAGAAACCCCTTCTGTAACCCCACATTTAAATTATTCCCTGATCTCCTTGCTGGCCCCAGTAGGACCAACTTGGCTAGTTAGCCCTGGTGATCATTTGATGTCTATGACTGGGTTGTTGTTTTTTTCTTTCCCCAAAATGACCCTGAATTTTTGAATTTTATTGATATTGATGCTGCATTTTATGTTGTATTTTATGCTGTTTTATGCTGTTTTTAAGTCACATTTTAATCAATGTTTTATATTTGCTGTTAGCCGCCCTGAGCCCGGTTTTTAAACCGGGAAGGGCGGGGTATAAATAAATTATATTATTATTATTATTATTATTATTATTGGAATTTTTCAATGAGAGATGTCCAGCAACATTTCTCAACAGCCCACTAAGCATGCCAATGAGAATAATGTTATGTCATGCAACTCAGCAGTATTCCTGGGGTAGATGCTCCAATAGGAAGGATGCTATGACATGAGACAGTGTCATTCCTATGGGGCATTCATTCCACGAACAACAACAAACTACTTAGGGAAGCCAAACTGCCACCTCTTATGGTAACAAGGCTTTTTTGGGTGGGTGGGATGCATAGGTCTGATTCAACCTGTGGAATCAGTGCAACTGGAAATCAGCACAGGACGCCTTGTGGTTGGCAGCTGCCACTGGGCAAAACTCTTTGGTGAATGAGCATTCAGCCATGGCCATGTTCTTCACTGGTCATGAATGTATTCTGGAGATTAAGGACTTCACTGACACTAAGATCAATGAGTTTCACACTTAACTGAACACCACCAACATCCCAGTGGCAATGCCCTTTGAAAAGCACAAGGTACCCTGAGGCCTGCTAGCATAATTAAGCAATTCATAGGCTAACCAACAAAATTTGGTGTCCCTTCTTTGAGATCTGCTGTACTTCTCGATTTCAATGCCCTACTGCATCATACAACACAGCTCATTTTGGGATGTTTCCATCAATTAATGGAATCTTTCCATGATTGGTACATAGTATATGCTAGGGACGTGCATCAGATCTGTGGAAATCTAGCTAGGGAGAGTCTTTCCTTTCTTTTAAAAAAACAACCCCTCCCCCCAAAAAACACCCCAGCAACGGAGGTTCTTTTTTAAAAAGGTAAAATGCTATGCTTTGACAAAAGGGAACTGGAACTCTTCCAAATTCTACTGTTACCTCTTGGAGGTCTGCAAGGCCTATATTGAAGGCCATAAGCAACACCAGAAGGGAAAGGTAAGTGCGAAGTAGCAAAGTTTTTATTTAAAAAAAAATATATGCTGTACATGCAAGGCTACACACCACTTGGCTATCTCTTGGTTATATTATGGTAGAAAGTGAATCACTTTTGCTTCTTGCACACACACACACACACACACACACACAACAAATGTTAGTCTGCAATTTGGCAGGCTTCATTCACTCTGGAGGGGTTCCTGTCCCTGTAAATTTCATCCACTTTGGCCAAAAGGGTAAAAGGTTATAGCTTTTTTATATTCTCTGTCATAGTGAATGGGGGAACATTCATTTTATATGGAGCAGCTCAGAACCCAAAATACAGATCTCAGTGGAGAGAGCACAGGGTGACTCAGAAACAGATTAGGTTTTTTAAAAAATAAAAATGCACAGATACAAGCCAAATCATGGAGACTATACAAACCCCAAGTATATGTCCACATTCCCAATCAAGAGCTGCCAAACTATTACATTCATAAAACACTGTCTTCACAATGGTTTTTTTCTTTTCTTCAGAGGGCAATAAAAGACTCATGTCATGGGAACTTTGCTGATGAGTGATTAGAATCATAGCCAAATTAAATGATCATCTTAACTAATTGGATTAGTCTAAATTGAATAATGAAACCTCAAGCTGTATTTAGTGGAACGTGCCTTAAATCCAATTATTAGTCTGTCAAGTGGTGCTAAACAATGGAAATGATCCATTCTATAGACCTTTTAATAGGAAGTATTGAACAACAACCTAAACAGACTAGGATACGAGATGGTGAGGGGAAAGGCAGTTGGCATATGGGGGGGGGGAGGGGGAGAGAAGCACACATTGTAAGTGTGGTAGAAATTATTTGAACAGACAGTTGCTGATCTGAACTAAGGATTCCTCTTCTTTTTAAATTTATTTTTATTAAAAGATTTTCATGAATAACAAAGGTACATATAACGTCTCTGTTTTCAGTTCATAGACTCCTTTCTACATGTCAGCTACATTTGGTGTGAGACATTGTTATCATAGGCATTGTGAGGTTGGGGGGTGGGGAGAGACGTGGGGAGAGAGGAGGGAGGCAGAAGAGGGGCTAAGGATGCTTCTTAAAAATAAAATTTTAAAAATTCCACTTTAGTCATTTCCATATTGACTAGTTTTGTTTCTGAAATGAAACCAATGATTTAGGAATTCTCAAATGTTCTTCTTTAAATTTCAAAATTTGTACAGAGTACTGTGCATGGGTAGTTTGATGGTGCTTCCACTTCCTTCCTGATCCCCCCCCTTTATTGGATGTCCTCTGGGTTATCAACAGGCATTTGTGCCTTGAGAAAACTGGTTGTACTCAAGATTACCTTTTGTGTTGTATTTCATTAATCTGGAGAAGACTGAAGTATTACCCAAAGCAGCACATAAAACAAATCTTCATATACCTCCCATCTCCAGTGGGCCTTCGCCCTCCCATGAATATGTGTTAGGATCTGATGCTATCTTTGTAGACATTGCAACATGCTTGGGAAGATGTGCAACTCAGTAAACATGTGCAACTTAGTTTACAACCATAATCCATTCAGGAGGTCCGGTTGTAAACCTAAGGCACGCTTTCGCCAATGAGGCCTCCCCCCAAAAAATTGGTTGTAATATATCAAAAAATGGGTTGTAATCCAAAAAAAGGGACACGCACTTCCGGGTTTGACGTGGTTGTAATCCAAAACAGTTGTAATCCAAAGCGGTTGCAAACCAAAGTACCACTGTACTTGATGATATGACTGCATGGTCTTTCCAATTTCCCTGAGTTTTTTAAATGATAACTATTGTCATGCTCCTGGATTCTGACTGTCAGTTGGTTAAAAAAATTCTCTTGTTTTTAAAATCATGGAGAAGAAATGAATAGGCAGGCACCTTTGCTATGTTGTTTCCGGTACCTGCTAAGCCAGGCATGTAATTTTAACTTACGATCTTATTTTTATTGTGCTTTTTTAAAAAAACCCTGACCATACTTACATTTTGCTA